AACGTTTGGTGTGTGTTTGTTTTGAAAGTGAGCAAGCAACTAAGAACGTTTCTACCTACTCAAAAGTCTTTTGTTCATTTCTCTCTTTTCTTTGATATTGCTATCTTACCATTGATTGGTAAGAAGCCTTATCTTTGGATGTAAAGGGACGGGCGTGGGTCATCGTATAGACATGATAACAATGTTGTGAGATATCTTAGCATTTATCTTTGAGGGACTAAGATCATTTGAAAGGCAACATCTGTACCGTCATCGAGAGACTATGATCTTGTATTTTGATTGTTTTTACTAAGACATCTCACATGCATAACATGTCCATTTTTAGGTAATAAGTGGAAGTAACCCTAGGGGTGCAGGTGTGAATAGTGTGTTTGATTTGCATGCATTTAGTATTTGATTAAGGGTTGTCTACTTATTATTTTTATCTTCCCCATACAAATCCTACTTTATTAACATTTATATGAAAGCGATAAATTGCGGAAAGTAAATATTCTACGATATTACAATCATTTGGGGGATAGGGTGTACAAATTTACAAATGGGGATTGCAAGAAATTAAGTCCTAATTATCTATTACAACCATATTGAAATAATGTACAAAAAATGGACTTGTTTTGTTTTTGTTAAGAGAAGAAATAAATTTGTTTAAGAAAATATTTTTTAGTATTTTTGTTTTAAAAGAAATAAAATAAAGCACGTGAATATAAAATGTTTTTGGTGTTTTGATTAATGAAAATAAAAGTGATGATAAAAATAATAAAGAAAAAGATTTAAAATCAGCGCATTGCTGACAGTGAAGAAATAAGAGGCAGAAGTTCTGACTCTGATGCGCTACAAAAATCAGAAATAACATGTTAGCAGAAATGGGGAAGGTCAGAAGTTCTGGGTCTGGGTACACCGAAGTTCTGAGATTGCTGAGAATAAAGGAAAGCCTAGAAGTTCTGATTGATGAAGGAATTTAGAAGCTCTAGTGCAACTGAAAACCTAGAAGTTCTAATATCACTGGCAAGTCAGAAGTTCTGGTTATTTGAGAGAGTGAGGTGATAATGCTGTTGGATGAGGATATCTAGAAGTTCTGATCTAGCAATATTGTCTGACAGATAAATGGGTAAAAATGCCAATAAATGAACATAAAAAAGATGCTTATGGGGCTAGAACCCAGGACCCTTAGTACTAATGTCTTATGCGCACACTTTCTACCCCTGGTTCTGACTGCTTGTAATGTTCTGATCAGCCTCCTCACGTGCTCAACAAACTTTTGAGGTGGAGAATGTGTTATAGTCTAAAACAGAAGTTAGGACAACTTCTAAATGTATATCAGAAGTTGTATGGATGACTTGGTCAAGAAACACTTGAGGAAAAATGGAGTTTGAATGCAAAGATTAAGAACTAGCAGGTTTTGTATTTGTGTCTGCAGTTTCAGATTCCTGGAATTTTTAGCACGGTTTCAAGGCTTTTTTTTCAATTTTTTCGACTCCTTTACAGTTGCCAATGAAGTTCCATTTATAGGCAAGGATTTTGTAGCTTGGAGAAGTCAAGAGTATAACCATCATGCTAGGGCGCTGACTTGTTCTTGAAGCAAGTTAAACAAGTATGGTGGTTAGCAGCTTTTAGCCGTGCCTAAGCTGAATTTATAAGCATGAATTAAGGAAAAGTACCCTCAGAGGCAAAAGCAAAGCATGAGCCCAACATAAACTTGTACAAAAGTTTGCTTTTCAAGGACAGCAATGGTACTTCTATCTCACACGTGGGGAAATCCTTTGGATAAAAACTCAAAAGTGGTTATGAGCATTAAATGATGATGAGATTTATCAAATCAGAAATCTTGTAATATGAGATTATGCATCATAGCTTAATTCTGGGTCAGAAGTTCAGCATCAGCGTAACATAGAATAAACATCTAACTTTTGATTTTTGAATCTCTTTGCTCCAGCATGTTCTGAGTGAGTTCTCATACTTTCCAGAAAGCTTATAACACGCTTTGTAAACCCTCTTTTAATTACTCTTGCAAATTCTGACTGAACCTACGTAAAAAATGGCCCCGAAATTGTAACCAAATTCTGATTTAAAAATGCTCAGAATTTACTAAGTGTTTAAGTTTCAGGGACGTGTCTTTGAAGATGTATAAATTGAAATCCCAGCATTTCTAGAAGAAGTTGTGTTCTACAGTGTTTTAGATCTCATTGAGATCTACAACTCTTGTGTTAGAAGTTCTTCCATAATCAACTTGCATCATGGTGAAAATCTGGCCAAATTTTTTGAATTTATCATATTTCTTAAACACAGAAAAATTTCTAAGTATTTAGAATTTTGACTTTTTCAACATAATCTTGACTTTTAATTTTCTTAATGAAACAAACTTCATACTCTAACATGCCTCGATGAAATATGATTCTTGAAACTTGATTTTGATCTAAAAGTCAAAGTTTGACTTTTCAGTGTACAATTGACCATTTTGCCCTTGTGAATGACTTTCTTGGAAAATTGTAATCCAAGAATTGAAACTTGATAGAAGCAAACCTGAGGGTCAAGGGTGATCCTTTGAGAAATGAGAGGGAAAATTTTGGGGTACAACAACAGTATTAACCATCTTTCTGGTTTGTTTTCTTTTGGGTATTGGTTGTTTGTTGTTGGTTATCTTTCGACTCTTAAGGTTCATATATTGGGCAAGAATAAGTCTGTAACTGCTATAAAGATCCAAATTGAAAGAATATAAACCATGTGACTAAAACACTTCGACACTGTCCCACTGGGTGTGCCAATTTGTTTACCAGTGGTTTCTGACAAACTACCGCTAGTATTCTAAATCTTATGCTTTGGTAACTTACAAGATCGACTAGATTGATCCTAGGACATTGTCTTAGTGTTTTTATAGTCTGATTCGAAAGAAAATATTGTACGGATAATAATAAAGTTTTTCTATGGTTACAATTATCTCAAGATGTTTAAAGTTTGACTATGAATCTTAAATATGACTTTAAAGGGAATAATCTGGGAATTTGTGAAAATATAAAGACAGTGCTCAATAAGAAAAGGTTAATAATTGTTAAAATATTAGACTGGAAACAAAAAAGGAATAAAAGTGATTAAAGACTTTGTACTGAGAAATTAATTCTGAATAAAACCGGTGGTGTTCTTACACATACATTATCAACAATCTCGTTTCTCTCGCTCCAGTACTTTGAATATAATATGATTTTGTATACAATTCGAACACCTTTTTCTAACAACTAAGACTTCTATTTATACTGATTTGACCCTAACGGTCCTTCTACGAAAACACGCCACGTTTGAAGATTACATGTCTTTCGAACTATTAGACTTCCACGTGTCTCTTTGGATAAGATCAAAGCTTTTGAATTTGAAATCTTCTTCTTTTCGAAGCGCCAATTCAAACAACACAACGATTGAAATATCTTTCTTTGTAATGCTTTGAATAACTTATACTTCCATAGTTCGAAGACGAACTCTTCGATAATGGTTCAATATAATAAAACTATTTACTAGCTCTTCATCAATCGAAGACTCCATAAAAACCTTCTTATACTTTCCCTCGAACAACTCTTTCTTCGATCAAAAAGCCTTAATTATTCAAAAATAGTATAATCGAAATTCCCAGCTAACAAGTTCGTCAAGAAAATGGTTGTTTGTTGGTTGTATTTAGTGGTCAATGTTACGATCGCGCGCAAGCAGTTAGGGGTTGCCGCTCATTGTGTGGAGACTTATGAGTTGCATGTTTGTGCTAGAACGAAAATAAAATGTCTTTTCTGAAAAGAGTTTTGAAGTTGAAAAGTCCTAAGGCAAAAATGTTTGATTTGTTAAAGTGAATTGTTAGGGCCGGATAATATATGGTCCCTGATGCGGGGGGCACCTAGCTACACAGGAACCAGGAAGAATGCACCACCAATTCCTTTTCCACCTTTAGTTGTGAATTTTTTTTTATTTGAATCACACTAAAGTCCGTGAATGGAAAAAGAACGGGGTTAGAAATACACCTTCTCATTCTCTTTCGTTGCTTAAGGCTCAATGGCGTACAATTCGCCTCATATTTTTATAGTATTTTGAGAATTTATTTAAGAAAAGGAATTTTTGTTTTATAATGAAAGAAAAATGAACAAAAGAAAAGAGAATTAGGGTTTTAAAGGTGAGAAACCAAGGTTTATGTTTATCGTGAAAATAGTGTCAATCTTACCATGATATAAAGAAAAGAATGGACAAACAATGAAAAAGATAAGCACTAGGATAATTGAAAATCCATTTCATGCAACACCAACGAGTTTAAATCCTAATATATTTCTAAAAGTATCCTTGTTCTAGACTAACTAGTCTAAGGGTTCATGTTTAATCAATTAACTAATCAACTAAACATGGAGGAGAAGATTTATCCAAACGTATTATCCAAACATTTCCAATTCACAAGTTAATCAAGTTATGAATCAAAAACAAAATAGTATACAATCATGATCAAATTGGACTAAAATCAACAATAACCAAAGTGATAAAAAACCTAAATCAAAATTATGTCCAAAATTCTAGTGGAAATTAAAGTGTTTTAATCAAATTTTATTGAAGAAAATAGAAAGAAATTCTAAAGTCAACATCAAATATTCACATATTTTCTCATGTCAAATAAAAAGGAAGTAAGATCATGCAAGAAGTTATAGAAAATCATGTAAACATAAAATGAAGAAAAGAGAAATGCAAAGAAACATGAGTCCAGGGGGTGTAAACTGGAAGCTGGTGGCAAAGCCTTCCGCCAGGCGCTCGGATTCGAAATGAAGCCCAAACTCTTTCTGGAAAAAAACACACAAAAACAAGGCCAACACCAAGCAAATCAGGGGTGTACGCAAGCCCAATCTAACATTGTTCCATCAGATTTTAACAAGGTTTAAAATATAAGAAAAAATAATTTAAAAAACAAAACGCCATCGTTTCAGATTTGCAACCGTTCACCTCCTTTTAAATAGATCCTTTTCTTCTTTCTGTTCCTTCCCTCTCTCATGCTTCGTCCCTCTCGATCTCAATTCAAACAAGACCGTCGCACCAGCACATCCACGGCGGCGGCTGCAGCGGTCCTTGCTCAGAAACACAAATGTTTTATGTCAAACGCTTCGTACTTCCTGACTCCAAATCCGTGGTCCTTTTTTTCCATTTTCTACTCAGTGAGCCTAAATCTAAGCAAACATCTGAAACCCTAAGTTACGAAAAAAAAATTAAACGCCCTGGTTAAGGCTTCCGAGCATGATTCTTTGGGGCTTTGATTCTACTCAGCCACCTCTACATGCTGGTAACAAGAACTGCATAAGAAGGTGAAGGAATGAAGGAGAGCGAAGCTTACCTACCGGAGTAGCTCCGGTGTCTCTTCAAACGTGATGTAGACGAAGAAATCCAAAGATCTTCACCAATCATCCAGGTATGCGTATTCGTTCAATTGTTCTTGATTCTTTATTCTTCTGCTTTTCACTTCTGAATCTCCTTCTTCTTCTATTTCTTCGTATGGTTGTTTCTGCGAATTCTTGTGTGTGTTGTTGCTGCATAAATAAAGAGTAATACGTGAGAGGATGAAGATGAAGCTTAGAAAGAGAGAGATTTGGTGATTGCAAACACTGAAAAGAGGCCAAGCTCTTCGTTTGAAGCTTCGATGTGAATGGAGTTCTGAGAGTGAGCATGTGGTGAGGTGAGGGGAGAAGCTCTGAGGATGGAGAGAGGAGATTGCAGAGAGTGGAGTGTAGAAGATGGAGGTTGGGGAAGAGTGATTTGGTGAGTTGTGCGTGTAAAGTTGCAGTGAGAGAGAAGAGTGGAAGATGAAGGTGAAGGAAGTGTGAAAATGGTGGGTGAGTGATGATTCAAGAGGAGGTTTACTTAAACAGAGGCCAGACTCGGATCAAATATGGTTTGGAGTTTGGCTCATTTTCAGTTGTGGAGGAATGGAGTGAGGTTGAGAGTTATAGTTAGATTCACCTCACTGAGTTGAATCCTAACTTAATTAGTTATGATCTTAGGACTCAGTTAGTTACAAAAGTTGATGAGTTGTCATGGTGAATTTGAATGTGCTTAGATTTCTTTAGTTTTGATTTTTTACTTAACTGAATTATTTCTGTTATATGCTTCAATGAGTGAGCTGGTAATTAGTTAGGATGATTTGGATGAATTAAGCTCAGGTTTGGTTTCTGTTAGCTTTGGATTCAGCTTAGGTGTTCATGAGTTAATTTTTCTTGATATGTATTTCCGATTTTGAATTGTATTGGATAACTGTTTTGTGTTAGTTGGTTATTTGGTTAATGTTTCTGGTTTTTCCTGCCATGGTACACGAACTGGTTTGATGTTTGGTTATGATAAATGGCACGGTCAACTGGTTTTTGCAGGGCAGTTTATTTATTGAATGTGCAAAATTGTTTTGGTTGAACTGGTTTAGTGACTCAATCGTGACTGGTTTTATGTGCAGATCTGCTTGGTTAATTGCACTTGTTCTTTTTTCTGCTTTGGCATAGTGTGGACTGGTTTAATGAATTAGACAACTAGTTTTGATGTGGTTCAGATTTGGTTAAAGTTAAGTAACTTGGTGATGTTAAGGCTTGAGTTAAATTGGTCATGTGTTTGGTTAATTTCTGATGAATTTTTCCTGCTGGTCATTGGAAATGCAGAGCTGCCATGGAGTTTTAGTCTTGATAATTGGTTTAAGTCATGGTTGAACTCTTGATGATGATGGAGTTTTGATACAAGGAAGAAAGGTCACTTGGCAAAATTATTGAAGGCATGGACATGGGAAGCTTAGCATGAAGATTTGGTTCATGAAGAACTTGAAGATATTATGGAGAATTGGTCGTGATGATGGAAGTTTGATGAAGTGTTGGAACATGAAGACCTTGGAAGCACGAAGAATCATGTGCCTTAGAGTTAGGCTTAGGATAGGTTTCCATGTAAATGTCTTAGGATAGGTTTCCATGGAAATGTCTTAATGTGATGGTGATGTACTTGAATGATATTGGTAATGTAAGCTTCTTGTAATGATATTGATAATGGTATTGAATTTGGAATTGTATACTTTGACTTTTTATGAATGTATTGACTTCTTTGACATTATTGACTTTGAATCTCCAAGTCCTTTATTCTCTTTGCCATGCTTCCTTGATTAAACTTTGAATGGCCTCTTGAATATGTATATGATGTCTTTCATTTTTTATACAATGATCTTGACTTTAGAAGGTTGGCCTTTGTACCTTTTCTTGAATTCCAAAAGAATTTGAATGACCATTTCCCTTTTATCCTTGAATGATTGGATTTCTTCTCATGATGAATAATTAAGAAAATGGATTGAATAAACTTTGGTCAAGAAGTCAATCTTTCAAGGTTGGCTATGACCAAAGGTCCAAGTTTGGCAAAATGTCTTTCCAATGTCTTTTTCCATAATGATAAGCATTCATGTACTAACCATGTCTTGTTCTCCACCAACACAAACCATTATCTTGTCCATTAAGTAACCATGACAAAACCCTAATCTATACACCTCACCTTCAATAAATGATATCCTTGTAAATAGCCCATAAGTTCAACGCCAATTAATTGAGGAGGGTGCCTTTGGATCAAGATGCTCAAACCCTAGTTTGTGAGAGAAAAACAAATGAATACATGTCTTCTCTCTATACTAATGCCTTGTGATTCAAGCAATTAGGAAATCTCCTCTTGATTGACAATAAGAAGTTCAAGTAAACCCTAGCCACATATCTTGTTATTCCAGTATCAAGTACCTTTTGAATGCCAAATAAAGGTCTAATGAACCCTAGCTTGCCATGTGTATCACATCTTGCTCAAAACTTGTACCTCAAGCCTTGGATGAAATCCCTTTAATGATGGTCCTAACTGATGAACCAAATTGCATAAGAAACTTTCTTTACTAGCCCATGATTAGGGAAATAAACCCTAACTCAATGGGTGATGAGCACAAGAAGAACTTCAATACCTTAGCCCATAGTCTCTTGTATGAAACCTTGTAGAATGCTTTGCATTGTAGGAAACAATGAAGTTATCTTACATGATGGAAAATGTTGGGAAGTAATCCATTGATGATGCATAGATGATAAGTGCAAATTGTAGCTATTTTTGTATATATTTTTTGTTGCACTTATCGACTTTTTGTTGTTAATATCGTTGAATAAATTCGACTTTTGTGTAAGTACGTTTAATTTGTGTTTATTTGTATTTTTGTGTATATAGTGTAGTGTTTGATGTTTTTTCATTCATTTTGTAGGTATTTGTTGCATTTTAGAGCATTGAGGAATAATGTGTCGAAGGCACGACTACAGATATGCGTTTTCGGAATAAAAGATCATTTTTGTCCAGGAGAGCCCGCTTAGCGCGCAAATGCTGCTAAGCACGAGTGCGCTCAACGCATTTTGTAGTGCGCTGCTTACGTTTTTACTGTTTTGGCAGAAGCATTATTTTGAAGCCTGCTTAGTGCGGATAGCGCGCTTAGCGCAATTTAGGTCGATTTGATGTGTAAAATAAGAAAGCCGCGCTTAGTGCGTCTGGCCCGCTTAGCGCGGTCTGCTGAGATTTGTTTTATAACTTCATTTCATTCATTTTTAAGTTATGGTTTTGGGGAAGTTTTTGCTCCTAACTCCATCAACCTTTAATTTTGTTAGGATTAACTTAGATAACAACTATGGAGCTTGCATACAGATGATTTGGGGTGGATTACTCTTCGATCGGCATTGACAAACCAGTAAATTTGCGGTTCATTTCGCTTTTTCTTTGTGTATTCTCTATTGGTTGGGTTTGTATATGTATTTACTTTAATCTCATTTATATTTGTCGCCTTTGGCGTTATATAAAACTTACTTTACAAATCTTTTTCGATTGTTATCCTAGATTTTTGCTCTGTGCTAGGAATTTGAGTTGCTATAGACATATACTACTTAGATTCTTATCTGAGATGATTATCTAATAGTGTCTGAATTCTAGAGATAGATTTAACGCTGTTATTCACTTAGAGTGTTTGAGATTAATGCCTCTGTGTTGTTTGTGTCGCTCTAAGAGATCGTCGACGCAAGCGAGCACGACTAAATTTTGTGTTGTTGAGGTGGTTGAGAGATCGCTACCGAGGTTATGCAGTCGGCCTCTCAATTTGGGTTAGAAATGACTTAGGTTGTGAGCGACACGTGATGACATTGATGAATATTGTAGGTTGAGTATAACAAGTCGATAGGTTTAAGCTTGTGAGAAGTAGTATATATGCATGCTTGATAAGTTATTCCTTTTTTCCTTTTTATACATTTATTTTCTGTTGATACTTTTACTTTCAACCCATTTATCCTCGAACTCATTAACGAGAGATTTGTCGAACGGCGAATCAATAACCAATCTTTGTGGACACGATATGATATAACCTATATCACCCGGTAAATTAATAACTTACTTTTTGCTTGCCGCTTTACCGCAACAATAAAATGGCGCCGTTGCCGGGGATTGGTTAAGTATATGTTGTATAGATTGTGTACATAAACTTGTATATTTTTACTTGTACATGTTTTGTGTTTACTTTCCATACTTGTGCGTATATGTGTTTTTTCTTTGTTTTCACGTATTGTTGTAAATTGTCCCGTTTTCGTAACGTTTGTTGTATGGATATTTGGACACTTTCTTTAGGTTTGCATAGTGTGACAATACCATGGAACGAAGAGAGGAGGTTACTAGCTCGCACAATAAAGGCGTCGAGCTTACGACGTAAAACAAGCATGTTTTGTTTGTATTCGTTTATGTATGTGTTGACTTGTGTTTTAACAAGTTGAAATTGGACTTGTTTTAAATTCTCAAATTTTCACTTTTCAACTTGTTAATTCACTTTCATCCTTTAGTTTTGTTATGTCAATTTGTGTTTTTTCGCAAGCTTGTCGTGTTTAACTTGAGGAAGTTTGTATATTGTGAATATTTTGTACATTTAGGTTTTGTAGGTGTAAGTGAGCTTGCATAGCAGCTGCACCAGTTGTTGTCCTGTTTTTCTGTAACTGGTGTAGCGCGCTTAGCGCGTTTAGCGTGCCCTACTGTGCAGAGCCAGTGAACTCTTTTTAATTTTTCACTTAGATTTCCTTTTTCCCACTTCCACCTAGGCTTTAAATAGTAAATAATATTAGTATAATTAATTCTTTTGTTGTTGTTTAGACTCAATTTTGGTTCGATAGCTTGAAGTCGCTTTTGGTGATTTTCTAAGTTTGAGTGTTTCAACTTGCGAATGCGTGTGTGGTAATGGTTTTGTTAAAGTTTTGTACACGTTCGAGGTATGTGTTTATCGCTTTCTATACTTTAGCATATTCATGATACTTAGACTTTTTACAATTTTTATGTCATTCATTCTTTTGTATACTTGTTCATTTATGAATCACCTTAGTTCCTACCATTTTTGTGAGGTAGCTTTCCATTATTAACATATGTTGGAGACCACAACTCTTATTTTAACTGGATTTTATTATGTTTAATATTTTATTTGTATTGATTGTATGAAAGCATGAACATGATCAAGGTATTTTTTGTTCCATTTTGAGCACAACTACTTTGACCAAATAGTCAATTCACCTTGTGGGCGTGTGATCATTAGTATCCACTTTTGACCCTTTTTGTCGATATCTATATTGTTTTTGGTAAATGCCTGTCTATGAGTATTTAGTTTATATGTTTGTATGAATGTTGATTCTTTTGTTTTCTTGAACCCTCAACTATGATTTTTAGTTGAATTTTTACATTGCCTTAGAAAGTAGGGAGTATTCACATTATGATGATGGTAGAATTCAAGTTGGGGAGAGGAATGTTCATGTGCTTATGTTGTGATTTCTATGAGGTTGCGAAAAGAAAAGAAAAAGAAAAAAAAGAAAAAAAATGGAAAAGAAAAACTTTGAAAAAGAAAAACAAAAAGAGTTCGAATAATTGTGCTAATAAGTGATGTGTGTTGGTTAAAAATTTGGAATGAAGAAGAAGTTTGATTGAAATTATTTTGCTTGAGACTTTGTGAGTTGATCACTCCCTTAGGTTTAGGCAAGTTTTTGTTTCGATTAGCTTTAGGATTTATCCCTTGTTTGTTAACCAAGCCACATTACAACCTTGAAAAGCCCTTGAGATTCTTGCCTTTGTATTTTCAATATGAGTTTTTGGATGAATGTATAATTTAGTCTTTTGTTTGCAAGATTGTGGATGAGTGAAAATACCTTACTTTGTGTGTTTTTCATCTACCGATGATTGTTTTTTCTAGGTGTGATTCATTTGTGAACTAGTGTTGTTTGAGAATGTTTGACATGTTCTTTGTATTTAGCATTCGTTTCGTGTTTATGTTATCATTGTAGTTTAGTGGTAAGTATGTTTCTTCGTGTGTACCATTTTTCATTTGAACCATTGCATTTGTTTTTTGTTTTCAAAACTTGTTGATTCATGATATTTTGGTTGGTTACTTTTGGTTCATTGAGTTGTTTGACTTTGTTTGAGGACAAACAAGTTCAAGTTGGAGAGAGTTTGATAAGTGCAAATTATAACTATTTTTGTATATACTTTTTGTTGCACTTATCGACTTTTTATTGTTAAATTGTTGAATAAACCCGACTTTTGTATAAATTTGTTTAGTTTGTGTTTATTTATGTTTTTGTGTATATAGTGTATTGTTTGATGTTTTTCCATTCATTTTGTAGGTATTTGTTGCATTATGGAGCATTGAGGAGTAATGTGTCGAAGACACGGCTCCTGATGCGCTTTTTTGGAATAAAAGATCAATTTTGTCCAAGAGAGTCCGCTTAGTGCGTAGATGCCTCTAAGCGTAAGTGCGCTCAACATATTTTATAGTGCGCTGCTTGCGTTTTTACTATTTTGGCATAAGCATTATTTTGAAGCCCGCTTAGCGCAGATAGCGCGCTTAGCGCGATTTAGGTCAATTTAATGTGTAAAATAAGGAAGTCGCGCTTAACGCGC